AACGTTTGATCCAGTTTTAGTCTATTTTACAGTCCGAGCTCCTTCCAACTGTGTCACAAACAGCTAGGCACGTATAATATCGCACAAGGCAACAAGCGCGCGCTCAACCATTCGTTCTCATAAAATAATGATGAAATCTAACTAATGGCTGGGGAAACTAATTAGGCATGATGTCTTCATGTTGCACCAACTTTTCAAAGCCGTCATAAGTAGAAATGTTTGACAATAACTGACTGAGAGAATTAATATTTCGATCTCAGACTGAAACGATTATCGCGCTTCTTTCCCTCTTATTTTTAAGCACATTGATGTGATAACCAAGAAATCAGTCACTGATAGTGATACCCGCAAAGAGTTTGATCCATATTTTATTTAATTTCTTAGTGCTCCTGGGTAAAACTAAGAGCATAAAAACAATTGCTAAGTATTAAATTTATTACCATGACTGTAATGATTGCGCTTCGCGCTCAGTCCCTTAACGTTCCTTGAAGTTAAGGTTCCATTTACAATTTTTGCTCTTCACTGCGACTTTGACGAGTGAAAAACGCCACAGGGATTTAGCATTTAAAAACACCTTAAAATAAGCAAATTTGAAACCTTGATTGATTACTATTCCTAGATTAACTAAAATCAGCTTCTGGCAATTAGGCGCAGAAAACTAGTTTTTAAAACCTGTTTTTTTTAGGGGGGGGGTGGGTTTGAACTAAGTCGAAATGGGACACTGTGGTATGGGACACTACGGCACCAGGTTTTATTTCAGGGGGGGTGGCTAACTAGAAATGGGACACTATGGGACGGGACATTACAGCACTACTATGGCCTCTCTAAAGTATCCAAACTACAAACCGTCGAGGCCATCCAAGCTAGTTGGCACTAACCTTCACTACGTTTCTTAGTTAACTTGTACCAGCCTTTTTCAGTTTCAATCTACAAGTTTAGAAACTTTAACTTCAACCCGGGGGAGGACCCCCGTATGAAAAGGTTGGGGCTGCTCGTTGTCTCGCTTAAGGGTATAAATCAAGGATTCTGGTCTCGCTTAGTGTGTTCATGACGAAACGCCACTATTTTCAGCTGTCAAAGTATCTTTTAGGGTGCACTCAAAAAGAAATAATTAAAAAATATCTTCTTTCCGTTTTTAGCCTTGATTTATGAGGGTCCCTTGAGTCTAGCCTGCAAGCGTGGGCTCCTTTCCTGAACAGCGGCTCGTAATCAAGCTTATTCTGTTTAAAGTGGTATCTTTTAGGGGTCAAGTAAAGCTCGAGCCACACCCAAATTAATCTCCCTCAGGGGTTTAATTCAAATTTTCTGATGAGCATCCCAGACCTTTTCATGAGAGTCCCCCTAAGGAACTTTAAATGTCTGAAACTGAACCAGACTAAACATTGAAATATAATTATGAGAGAGAAAATACTCGTTTTAGATAGAGGTATGGATGGGGTCAAACTGATAGCTGAGAATTGGTCAACATTTTAATGGTCAGCTGAGAAATGATGTAATTTGTTTTGTTGAGAGCTAAAATCAGAGATCTCCAAAATGCAAGAAAAATTGCCAAGTGCAATAGCACCTTTACAGACTCTATGTTTCTCATAGAACAAGAGCCATTGCTAAACTTTTTAAAAAAGAAAAATGTCCAGACATTAATTTTGTACAATCAATTCGAAACTTCAATATCCCCACTGGGATAGACCATATTTGTATTCTCGGTATTGGACTGAAACTAGCTTGCAATGGAGGCTCATGCGGGGAAATATCATTAAAAGAGAGATTAAATGTCATTTGCAATTGAAAATACTCCCCGCATTAGCCTCAGTTGCAAGCTAGTTCTAGTCCAATACCAAGGATACGAATATGGTCTGTTTGAACTTTGGAAGTCTTCAGTTTTAAATTCCAACCCCTATGCCCAAAAACTGGTGTTCAAATTATTGCCCCACCATACCACTATTATAATACCTTATGCATCCCATGACATGATGAGGAATGATGATGATGATGATGATACATGGCACCATTATTGCCACATAAGGCAATCAATGTCCCTTACCCCTGAGACAAAAATGGTAAAAAATAACAGGTCTCTGAGGTATTGTTTTTGTACTAAAAAATAAAAGTCATAAACAAAATTTGTCTTCACCATCGTTTAGAGGAACTTGGTCAAATTCTCACCCCACCCCTAACACATGATCACGTGTCAAATCCCCCATCCCAGAAAACAACAACAATTAAGTCAACTTCCCATCCCTTCGGGCATGTCAGCCAGTGAAATGTGCTTTGGGGTGTTGATGTCTCTATTTGATCGATACATGTACATTGCATGTGGGTAACGGTAGTCAGTTTTCAATTTTGGGAAAATTTGGGTCATTGTCTACTGCATGACCAACTGTCAATTGCAGCCCTTAAGTAAAGTATGTACTGCCAGTAGGCAAGCACGTGCCTTTTCAAGATGTGTTCATGCTGACCTTGAGGGCTCTCTTAACACTCTCATGGCTTGTCTGACTTCTGTTGCATTTTTCAATTTCCCTTTTTAAGTTTCTGAGTTCTTTTGTGTAATTTCTTTGGTTACACTCCTTTCGTCTGCTACAGTACACCTCATACTCAATCTCTGCAACAACTGATGTTACATCTGAATTTGAAACTTGGTTACTGGGACCAGGAATGTGCTGCAGGTTCTGCTCCACTGTCTCATTGAGCAGACCAAATGCATTATTTCTTATGGAATCCTTTATATCGGGGTCTCCAGGTTCCAAAAGATTACTGCCAGGTACTTTTTGGGGGCGTTCCTCACTAGATCTTTTGCTCAACTCATACTGTCGATGCATTGTGGCTTTCTCCATTCGGGAAAGTTTTGGCGGAGAAATATGTGCCTCGTCTTTGCCCCCATCATCATCACCATCATCTTTAAAGTGCCGCTTGTAAGTAGGTTCTGGAGGACCACTCTCATATTGGCTTTCAATAGCTCTTTTTCCAAAGGCTTCCTTAAACAAAGCATTGCACTGTGATCTCTTCGCTGATGCCAGATCTTCAGAACTATGTAACATGACAGAATTCTTTTGGCTGCCAGCACTACTGGTTTTCTCGTGTATCCCCATTGGTGATTGCAACGCCTTACAGCCTTGTTTTGTTGTGATCACTACCAGATAGCAAAAGCATCTGGAAACAGCCGTGTAAAGAATTTCCTTAGTTGTCTTAATTGTCCAGTCCTTATCTTCAAAAAAGGGAGGGTTGTAAAGGATGATCACTTTTGATTCCAAGCCTTTGAATCGCCATATGCTTTCAACAATGACATTGTTTTGGTCTGTTGTGGTGTCAAACAGTTCTTCGGCATCTTGGGTCTTTACTTTAAGATGTTTTAGCTTAGACTTGAGCTCATCACGAATCGCTGTATTCTTCACCAGCACGCAGATGTCCCTGTCTTTAACATTGTGTAGGCGGAGTTTACAAATGTGTTTCTCTATGGCCTCTGCACCTTGATACTCTGAGTCCTTTGTACTTGTAAGTGAGTCATCGAACTTGATTGGCAAGCCATCTTCACTGTGTCCTAACTGAAGTTCTTCAGTTACTTTTGACCTGTAGTACTTGCTTGACTGTTTGAAGACATTTCCAGTGTTGCGAAGCACACTAGAGAGTCTGGTGGTTTTCTTGCGATTCTTTTTGAAGAACTGATGTTGCTGGTCTGATAACCTGAGATACTGGTTAGTGTCGTACAAGAACCAGATGTGTTTGCATTCAGCTTCATCATCACTGTCGTCAGACAGGTCATCAGCATCTTTCTGCAACTTCTCAAAAAGAATTGGCCACTTGTCACCACACAGATCCTGACATTCATCAACAAATATATGGTCATACTGTTGAATGGAAGCAGTTCCTTTCTCCAACAGTTTCACAGCTCTGGCAACATGTTCCCTTTTTTCCTGATCAGATTCACCGGACTTCACCTTAGTTATCTCATAGAGGAGCTCATCAAAAGTCACCACTTTGACTACTGAACTCAAATCTTCACTGACATTTTGCAACAAGTCATTCAAGTGTTGTTTAAATGTCGATAAAAACATCTTCGACAGGGGCTTGTTGTAACAAACAACAAGTATCTTCTCTTCCATTTCATGGAGAAGGACTTTTTTAGCAAGCATCTTGACTTTCTCCATAAGCAACCATGTCTTTCCACTACCAGCAGGACCAGTTATCCATTGTTCAGGTGTTGTATTCAGTAATGCATTCAACTGTTCTCTGGTTCTGATTACAAGCATGTTGTGGCTTTTATCAATGGAGTAGCTGAGACAATGGCCAGTGTGAATCGAACCCACAAACCTGCAACGGCATAAAATATTATTTGAGAATGAAATATTATAATTGCTAGAAGTGAAGTGGCCTTTAAATAGTTGGTGCACTGGACTCTAGATAGAGCCATCTGGGTTTAAACTCTGGCGGGGGTTGCTCTGTTGGGTTCTTGGGCAAGACACTTCACAAGTGCCTGATCACCCCAACTAGGAGTATAAATGGGTTCCAGCACCTTCTTAGGGCAACCTGACAAAGTGCTGAGGGATAACCTTCCTAGCCAGTCATGCTGCAGAAACCGGAGTTACTAGCATGGAGAACTATAAGCCAGTTGGGCTTAAGAGACTTAACTTTACCATTAAAGTATTTAAGTATTAAAGCAATCTCTCTCTGATTGGATTCTTATAAATCATACAAGTACATGTAACGGTGCCTTACGTAAAAGTATAAATGTAGGTCTTCAATTAATGTAGGTCTTCAGTTATTCATTAACTACATAAACTATTCCTTAATGCATATTTATATAAATAATTTAGCCAAGCCTAGAAGTGGGAGCGAGCCTGATTAACAGCAGCCCTGATTGGCAGCGGTCACCTTCAAAAAATGTGACCTCGATGAGCTTTAAACCTGAGCCCACAATATGGTCACATGATACTTTGTTTTGACAGCTGTCAATTGGCCATACCCTGTAGCATGGATGTCCAACATCAAAGATGTACCCACATGTATAATTATGGTGCTAGTCTTAGTTTTCAAGGTATAGGTGTCAGCTTGGTACATGCAGTGCACTTGGCATATGGAAGTATAGACAATCATGCAACACAAAATTTGGCATGTTTAACTTAACACTGACAGTGACACTCACCACATTACCAAGTACTCAAAGATTGTTGGATCAAGTGATGGATGTTGTGCCCCTCCAATCTTCTCATCCCACCACCTGGAAAATGCCTCTAAGCTGGAACAATCCTCTTGACAAAGGACATTATCTCGTGTGCAAACTGACTGCTGACCCCGAGGACAATTTGGCATCACAACAAAACCTGGATAGTTCTTAAATGTCTCTGTTGCTTTTCTTGAAGAAATGGTTCCATTCACCATCCTTTTGAAAAAATTTTCTAATTCAAGTTTGTCCTTGCGAATCTGCCCTTCTGCCTCTTTGTAAGTTTTGCCTGTTGATGTAGCTTTCACTTGGAAAAAAATTGGACCATGCATTCGATGGATCACGACAAAGTCAGACTCTCCCATGACCCATGACCTTTCTCTATCACTGTCTGGTAGATGCGCACTGAAGTCAAAGGAGTGAACAACAAACATGGGCTCATTGTTATTCTGTCCATGTTCATGTAGAAGATTATAAAACTTTTCCTCTGCTTTTCTCCCTACATCTGCATCATTATTCATGCCTTTAAAGGAAGGTGGAACCATGTGTGTTTTCTTTGGATCTTTCCAGTCATCATATTCTTCGTTCAGCCTACTGCGGATTTCATCATCCCAAACACGATTTCCATCATCAGCTAAATTCTTTTGTCCACAACTTTTTACTGATGTACCTATCATTTTGCCAACCTGAGGATTAAAGATTAGAACATGATCACATTAAACAGCTCAGCTTTTCACACCAAATATATCCTCTGAAATACAACACAGCAAATGCTGCACAGATTTTTCATGATAATAATATTACAACCAACAAATAATATTATTTCTGTGCTCTTACTAGCCGAAGGATTGGCAGGCACAGCAGCTTGATTAAAAATCAGATCTCAGACTTGTAGACAAAATTCCAAACAGAGCAAAGTACAAAGCACAGCAAAAACAACATCTTAAAATAAAAAATCTCAAGGTGTAGAAGATGACAAATAAACATAAAAGTCATAAGGGCAAAGCCTCCAGCTCCTAATAATTAATATGCCTGAAATGATGCAGGAGCCGACATCTTTAGCGTTGCCAAATCCTTGTTCAAAAATAAATGACCAATAACGACCGAGTATCGATATCNGGGGGGGGGTACTGCCATATATGGGCTATATAGGTATGTGACACTGTGAAGGGTATAGTTTTCAAGCAGTTTACTCTAGGATAGTGTATATAAATCAGACAATTTGGGTCTAAAATAGGGTATCGTTTTTCACGAAACTGACCAGTTGGTTGAAGATTTTATCTAAACTAAAGATACCAGGAATTGTCACTCAAGAATATAAAAAAATGAAATCGGCAAGTTTAAATTTTAGTAACTCAGCCTCAACATCTTCAATAGATGACTATCATAAAACACTACTGTCAAAAATAGGGATTCAGACGGAAATCAGTGGCTTTAATACTGGTTACTCTAGTATAGGATAGCAAAATTCAGCTAAACAAGCTCTAGTATAGGCTAAGGGTTCCAAGGTCCCAGCAGCACATGCCCACCCTGAAATTCTTAAAGTACCCCCCCGGGGGGCAAAGCATAGAGCCTCTAATAATTAAGAGGCCCTGCACCTAAGAAACGACCGATGATTTCCGGCTAAAAAATAAAATCGGCCGATTTTTATCTCTCAAGTAGAGGTTACCGAATACTANTGACAGAAGCTCTGTCGAAACATGTCTTGCAAACTTAAAAAATTGGTCGTTTTCCTTAAAATATTTACATGTCTGCTGCTATCTA